TAGGAGACAGAGATATTAAAGAAAAATCAAGTTGAAATAATAGAAATGAAGAATTCAACACAACAAATAAAAAGTACAATGGAAAGCCTCAACAACAGACTCATTGAGGCAGAAGAAGGAATATCTGAGCTATGAGACCAATCCTTTAAATATCTCCATCAGACACACACACACAAGAATAAAAAGCTTAGAAAATCTGAACTGTTTCAGATCTATGGGATGCCATTACATAACCAAATACACATATCTTAGGAGTTCCTGAAGGAAAAGAAAAACAGAATGACTTGGGAAACCCATTCGGTGAAATAATAACAGAAAATTTCCCCAATTTAGAGAAAGAGATGAACATTCAAGTACAGAAGTACATAGAACCTCAAATAGATATGATCAGAGAAGAGTTTCACCATAACACATTATATTCAAATTTTCAAAAATGAAACATAAAGATCCTAAAATGTGTAAGAGAGAAACATTAGATTATCCTTAAAAGACCTCCAATTAGATTGACAGCAGATTTCTCATTAGAAACCCTCCAGGCAAGAAGAAAATGGAGAAATATAGTCCAAGTCCTTAAAGGAAAGAAACTGTCAAACCAAAATACTGTATCCAATGAAATTGTTATTTATGAATGAAGGTGAAATAAAGACCTGCCAAGACAAACAAAAATTGAAAGAATTTGTCAGAACCCAGCTGGCCTTACATATGTTATTTCAGGATGTACTACACACAGAAACAGATAAAAATAATTAGAATTATGAAAGAAGGTGAAAACATAAAATCTCCTAGTCATAGCAGTATAACGGAGATCCAATACAAGCAAAAAGAATATTTATGGGAAAATGACAGAAGTGATTATTTATCAATAATAATCTTGAATGGACAAAATTCTCCAGTTAAAAGAAACATACTGACTAAATGGATTAAAAAACAAGGTAATTATGTAATGATTAAAGGACTAATTCGACAGGAAGATGTGATTATAGTAAATGTATATGCACTCAATGCTAAAGTAACCAGTTATTTAAAACAAATATTAATGGATCTAAAGAGAGACTTATGCTCCAATACAATTGTAATGGGAGACTTCAACATCCCACTTTTATCAATGCACAGATCCACTTGACAAAAAGTCAACAAAGAAACAATACAGCTACTCTGCACTATGGATCAAATGGACCTAATTGATATCCATAGAATATCTTATCCCACAGCCCCAGAATACACATTTTTTCATTGATGTATGGAGCATTCTCTAGGATAAACCATATTCTAAGCCATAAAAGAAACAAATTCAAAACTATTGAATTGATACCATCTATCTTTTCTGACCACAATGAAATGAAAGCCAGAAATTAACAATGAAATGAAAGCCAGAAACTCTAGAAAATATGTAAACATATGGAAATTGAACAATATGCTCCTGAATGAACAGTGGATCATAGAAAATATCAAAAGGGTTGTAAAAGAATTTCTTGAAACAAATGAAAATGACAACAAAACATATCAAAACTTAGGGGAAACAGTAAAAGCAGTGATAAGAGGAAAGTTCATAGCAATTAGTGCCCACATCAAGAAATTGGAAAGACATTAAATAAATGATCAAAGAATGCACTTCAAGGACCTAAAAACACAAGAACGAACCCAACCCAAAATTAATCAGAAGAAAAAAATAATAAAATTGGAGAAAAAATAAACAAAATTTAAATTAAAAAACATAAAAAGGTTCCGTGAAAGGAAAAATTGTTTTTTTTTAAACCCATGCCCAGCATAATATTAAATTTTAAAAAAGCTGGAAACATTTCCACTAAGATCTGGTAACAGACAAAAATCTTCACTCTCACCATTACTGTTCAATATAACTCTGAAAGTATTGGCCAGAGTCCTTAGCCAAGAAAAAGAAATCAAAGGGATACAAATTGGAAAAGAGGAAGTCAAATTATCCCTGTTTGCAGATAACATAACCCATTATATAGGGGAACCAAAAGACTACACTAAAAGACTGTTGGAACTTATATGAGACTTTAGCAAAGCTGATATAAAATCAACATCAAAAACCAAAGGCATTTGTATACACAAATAATGCCATGACTGAGAAAGAACTTATAAAACCAGTCCCATTTACAGAAGCTACTAAAAAATCTAAATGCCTAAGGATAAATTTAACCAATGATGTGAAAGATCTCTGTAATGAAAATTACAAAACATTAAGGAAAGACCAGCACTGTGGCATAGTAGGCTAAACCTCTGCCTACAGAGTCAGCATTCCATATAGGTGCCGGTTCATGTCCTCGTTGCTGCTCTTCCCATCCAGCTCTCTGCTTATGGACTGGGAAAGCAGTAGAAGATGGTCCAAGTGCTTGGGTCTGTGCACCCACATGGGAGATCTGGAAGAAGCTCCTGGCTCCTGGTTTTGGATTGACACAGCTCTGGCCTTTGTGGTCAACTGAGGAGTGAACCAGTGGATGAATGGCCTTTCTCTATGTCTCTCCTTTTCTCTGTCTTAACTCAACCTCTCATATAAATAAATAAAATCTTCAAAAGAATTAAGGAAATAAATAAAAGAAGATATAAAAAATGGAAAAATCTTCAATGCTCATAGATTGGAAGAATTAATACCATCAAAATGTCCATACCACCCAAAGGAATTTATAGATTCATTGCAATCCAAATCAAAATACCAAGGATATTCTTCTCAGATGTAGAAAAAAAGATCCAAAAGTTCATAAGCAAACACAAGAGACCCCAAATAGCCAAAAAAAATTTTAAAAAACAAAACTGGAGGCATCATAATACCAGATTTCAAGACATACTACAGGGAAGTTATAATCAAAACAGCCTGGTTTTGTCACAGAAATAGACATTAGTCTGTTTAAGTAGTCCAATGGAACAGAATAGAAACCCCCAAAATTAATCCACGCATCTACGCATCTATAGCCAACTAGTCTTTGACAAATGAGTTACAATCACTCCCTGGAGAAAGGACTGTCTACTTTTATTTTTTTAAGATTTATTCATTTTACTTGAAAGTCACAGTTCCATAGAGAGAGGAGAGGCAGAGAGAGAGAGAGAGAGAGAGGAGGTCTTCCATCTGCTGGTTCACTCCCCAGATGGCCTCAATGGCTAGAGCTGAGCCTATCTGAAGCCAGGAGCCAGGAGTTTCCTCCAGGTCTCCCATGAGGGTGCAGGGGCCCATCTTCTACTGCTTTCCTAGGCTATAGCAGAGAGCTGGATCGGAAGTGGAGCAGCCAGGACTAGAACCTATGCCCACATGGGATGCCGGCACCTCAGGTGGCGGCTTTACCCACTAACCAGAGCGATGGCCCCAGGACTGTCTACTTATTAAATGATGTTGAGAAAATTGGGTCTCCATATGCAGAAATATGAAACAAGACCCTTACCTTATACCCTATAAAAATCAATTCACAAAGGATCAAGAATCTAAATCTAAGACCTGAAACCATCAAATTACTAGAGGAAAACATGTGGAAAACACTGTAAGATGTAGAGGCAAAGGCTTCTTGGATAACATCCCAGAATGACAGACAGAAAGCAATAATAGACAAACGAGATCATGTCATGCTAAGAAACTTCTGTACAGCAAAGGAAAAAGTCAATAAAACGAAGAGGCAAACTATAGAATGGGAGAACATATTTGCAAATGTAAAATCTCTCCAAAGGAGAGCATGACAATGTGGCACAGCAAATTAAGCCATTGCCTCAGTTGCTGGCATTCCATAAGGGTACTAGTTGGAATCCCAGCTGCTTCACTTCTTATCCAGCTCCCTGTTAATGGCCTAGGAAAAGCAGTAGAATATATCCTAAGTGTTTAGGCCACTGACATCCACATAGGAGGCCCAGAGGAAGCTCCTGCCTCCTAGTAGTAGCCTGGTCCAAGACTGGCCATTGTGGTCATCTGAGGAATGAACCAGTGGATAGAAGATCCCTCTCCCTCTTTGTATCTCCCTCCTCTCTCTGTAACTCTGACAATCAAAATAAATATTTTAAATAAATAAATAATGAGAAATCTTAATGTAGTCAGGTAATATTGATGTCTTATGATTTGATTATTTTTTATAACTCTTGTCTATACTCTTGAGGAACAGTGATCTATTTTTACTTGTAGGACTACTTTTCTTAAGATTTTATTTATTTATTTACTTGAGAGGTAGTATTACAGACAGAAGGAAGGACAGAAAGGTCTTCCATCCACTGATTCACTCCTCAAATAGGCACAATGGCTGGAGCCAGGCTAATCCAAAGCCAGGAGCCAGGAGCTTCTGGGTCTCTCATGCGTGTGCAGGGGCCCAAGCATTTGGTAATCTTCTACTGCTTTCCTAGGCCACAGCAGAGAGCTGGATCAGAAGTGGAGCAGCAGGGACATGAAGTGAGGCACATATGGGATGCTATTGCCCCAGGCAGAGCCTTAGTCTACTATGCCACAGTGCCAGCCCCTAATACTCTCTATTTAGAGAAGCATTAAGCCTGTGATTACAAAGTAAATTGAAAGCATGATATTGCAAAAAATTTAAAGAAAAAAAAAAAGGAAGGATGATGGAGAGAGGGAGAAAAGCTGTTATATTCTTGGAATTGTTTCTATGAAATCTGTTCTCTATATTAATAAATTAAAACTACATAAAATATTCATATGCTGGAATTCTAACTTCTAAGGCAATAAGTTTAGGAGATACAGCTTTTAAGATATGGGTACTCATGAGGGAGGATCACTTAAAACTAAGATTGATACTCACATAAAATAGACCCCAGAGAGATACCTAGCCCTTCTGTTAAGTGAGAATTTGACCACCTTGAAGGAAGCAGTCCCTCACCACAAACTCACTCTGTTAGCACCTTGATTTTAGCCATCCCAGCCTCCTGACTATGAGAAATAAATTTCTGTTGTTAAAAGCTTTTCAGTCTAAGGCATTTGTTACAGAATCCCTGATAGTCTAAGACACATAGTATGAGTTATAACATCTTGACAAGACCAGTCTAACACCTACCTTAGAGCTCATGTTGAAGAGGCTTGGTCTTTTCTCTGGCCCATAATCCAGTCTCTCAAAGTTGCTGTTAGGAAGAATCTAAGATGGGCATATCAAAAAAAGCCACAACAATAAACATTCCATTCAGAACTTTGAAGTTAAGCAGTTCTATGAATACTTGCAAGTATCCCAAGATATAAATGTGATTATTCTTATATGGTTTTGGTATGGCTAAAGAAGCACCTGACAGAAGGCTAAGCAATAAATATCCAACAATCAAATAATTGACCCAGTTGAGGACACTTTCTGATGGAGGTACCCATCAGTAAATGCCTCATTATTCCGTGATGAGTAATGGACGTGGCAACAATGAAATAATTATATTATGGCCCCAGGAGGGCTGAAGACCATTACATGTTGCTCTCTGTTCTTGGTTTCTGCTTTTGCACTTTTTGTGAGGGGATGTTTTTAAGAAATCTCCCTCTCTGTCATCTATGAAAGAAAAGACTGAGTGGAATGTGAACTAGAACACCGTCTTTGGTAACAGGCTTTGGGAAAATGAGAAGGTAAAGACTTTGGTATCTAAACATGGTAGCAAAAGTTACTCAAATGGAAAAGAAATGGATCAGCTTCAAATCTGAGAACTGGGAAGCAGCATGGGAGGGACCTAAGCCCTTTTGTTAATCTCAGCTATGGACAATACTTAGTCTTGCATAGCTGCAATCCCCCAGAACTAGAGGGGGATGTGTACTACTGTGAAGGGATGTGGGCATGGAAGGTAATTTTTTCCTGCCTATGATGTCAATGAAGCACTTGCAGGGACATTTCTTGGGATAGGGTCAGAGGCTGAGCACCTCACAGCATCAGCTGCTCTGGAAAGAAAAGAGCCCAGTGGCGTCATAGGTGGAAAGAACACAAGATAAAAGCTGTAACACAGTGAAAGTTGAGCTCAGCCTGTCCCAGAGGGACCACGTCCCTGAGGTAGCTAACTTCTTCCTGGGAAGAGAAACAGCAATTTCATAAACCCCTCAGCCAGCTTAGCCTGTTCAAACTTCTCCTTTATCTGGGACAGAAAGGAGCAAGTGAGCCTCCTAGAACTGTGCTCAGTTGGTCTCCAGTTATCTAGCCTAGAGTTTGCAGCAAACTGACATTAATAAAAGAAATATGGAACACTATTTAAATCTAAAATCTAAAAGATCCAGAAGTTTGAAAGTATCACATTGTGTCGCACATCTCTTTATCTAGAATTACCTTCTTAACTGACTTTTCTTTTAGTCACTAAGAGAATATGCTGTTTCTTACTTTTACCAAAATCATGAGACTACATAGAAATCTCAAGGAACAGAATTGTTAAGAACTATTATTCATAACATGAGTTTCATCACTAACTTACTAACAATAAAGACTCAGGTTTCTCATGTACAAATAGAACTTTGATTCCTTTAACTATAAAATTTATGGCTGCACAAATACAATCCAATACTATTTCTGGACTGTGCCTTCATGTTTTCATAAGTAGATGTTAATCTGAATTAAAATTTGAATTCACAAGTTAGAGGTAAACTTTTAAAAAATTACATTTAGAAAGCCAAATTTGGAGGAAAAACTGCAGATTGTGTATATTTTTGAGGAACTAAATATACACACAAATGTATATTGACAAAAAAATCAAAACCTAAAAATAAGTCACAAATAAACACCATTGTAAAGGACAGCATGTGTTTTCTCGGCAGGGAAAATATTAGATTAGATATATTCAATATCAAGAAAGAATAAACTATAATTCTTCTAAAAAAAGTATTCTAGTTAGAACACTACCTGTGCCATCGGAAAGTCATAAAATACTTTTTACAGTAATGTCATCCAAGTGGAGTAGAGAATCAGTAGTGCATTAATAATAAAAAAGAATAAGAATTGTAAAATGTCCTTATTTTATTCTAAAAAACTAACCTCATTCTATAAGTAAGAAAACAAAAAAAATCATTAAGGCTTCATTGAACCTTTTGTTCAAATTTGTAAAAATGTAAATTTTAGGTTCCTGAAATTAAATCCTGGACATATTTGGATTTTGGAATAAAAAATTACATGCTTTCATTTATTTTTTACTTTTGATGATATGAATGAATTGAACTGTCCACCACTTACTCTTAATGTCCTATGATACATGAAATCAACAGTTACTAGAAAAATGGTTTGGCTAATAGTTTTCAACATAACTTTTAGAGGCACAAAGGTGAACATGGCATTTATTTCTTCAGTTGACAAAACTTTCAAAATTGACGTGTGAAGTTTTGTAACCAGTGTAATAGATCATGACAGTGACATACACCAGTGAGGAAACAGAAATTGGCCATATTATAGATAAACAAAACTTCACAGCTCCATGGTCCTTTACCTCAGAGATCTGGTGGTCTTGAATGGTGCCCTCTGACTTAGGAACACTGATCACTTGGCAGAATTACAGAAGATTGTGTCTAAACGTTGATGCAGAACACCCGGATTACTTAATGTTTTGTGACACTATAGACATGAACCATGAAGATTCAATTCTTTCACTTAAGGATATGATTGTTTCATTAACACACACCTTACATTTTCAGTAAGATCAGAAAGATCACAACAATAAAACCAACAATGGGCTTAAATGTGTTTTTATTGCTTGGAGCATCAAGTTTTTCAGACTTCAAATCCTAATTCTCTCCCACGTTCATAAAAGGCATGCTATATATTGGACACACACACACACACACACACACACACAATGTCTGATAAAACTACAACAGTAGTCCCCTGAATGATTGCCTCACTGTCAGTTTTACAACAGAGGGAAAGTCAAAGGAAATCTTCCACTTATTACCTTCCATTTTAACTTAGATGCAACTTTAGGTATGAACAACTCCATTAAGAAATCCAAGCTCATTACTACTTTGATTGCCCTTGCTCTTCCTTATTTACTCCTACCATGCAAAGAATACTTTTTAAAAAATCAGTATCTTATAGGTTAACACACTTTTAATTATACTTTGTCAAAAAGGAGTATCACTTTTTAAAAGAAAATCTTGAAAACCATTAACTTAAGTGGAGTAAGAAGGAATAGAAAATGAGTAACATCCTCCACTAAACATCTCCCCACACAGACACCAGTTTGAGCAATTACTTGTGCACCGTTCTACCTTTACAAGAGCTAGGAAAGCCAGGTGGGAGACCATAGTGCCTAGTTTTAGTACCGTAATGAGAAAGGGCATGGTGTAGGTGTTACCAGAACAAATTAGGCCTGGGCTGCTTGAAGCTGGACAGTCAATACACCAGAGAGGAGAGCTGATGCAATGAGACTCTAAGTTTATTAGAGTGACCACATGCGTTCCTGTCCTGGCAGCTCTCCTTCTGATCCAGCTCTCTTCTTACGGTCTGGGAAAGCAGAAGATGGCCCAAGGGCTTGGGCCTCTGCACTCGCATAGGAGACCTGGGAGAAGCTCCTGGTCCCTGGCTTCGGATCGGCCCAGTTCTGGCCATTGTGACTATTTAGGGAGCGAACCGGTGGATGGAAGACTTCTCTCTTTCTCCCTCTCTCTGTCTGTAACTCTGCCTCTCAAGTAAATAAATAAAATATTTAAAATAATACGAAATAAAATAAAATAAAAAATAAAACCGGTAACCAAACACAGGTTTGCCAAACAGCCAACTCATGCAACTGACTAGTTCTTTCCAGGCTTAAATCCTCAATGTGGTCAGCTGAATAAAGTTTAACTTGGATTTTGCAATCAGACTGATTCTTTCAGTTTGCAGAACTAAGTACACAGCATCTGCTGCTCATTTCTCAAGGTAACCCTGAACCCAGAAGTATTTTATATGGTTGGAAAATGGTAAGCAGGTGTCCCCTAGTTGTCCCCTCATTCCACAAATGCCCGGGGGAGCTGCCAGCTTACTACACTGCTGCATTGCCCTAGAGAAAGAGCCCAGCCCACATTATATCATCTCTACCAGGCTCTTGCTGCTTGGGACCATTCTGAGATCCACCCACCACAGGTCCAATGAAACAACTCTCATAGTAGCTACACAGACTCAGTTCTGTGAGCCACCTGGGAGACCTTTGTTACCTTTCCACAACCTTGGTAGTACAGCCTGAGTGGTTTGGCCAGCAGAGGTCTCCAAAGTCTTATGTGAAAGCTACTATAGGGTTGGACATTTAATACAGTTATGATGTTTGGAGAAAGGGCCTTCAGGAGGTGATTGGATTGAAGTGAGTTGTTAGATTGGAACCTCCAAGATTAAATCCTAGTGGTTTTATATGAGACCACAAAGACAGACACCTATGCTTTTTTCCTTATGTCAGTAATGTTCTGTATCACTTCAGAAATCTGGTAGCAAGAGCACAAGCAACTGAGACCAAATCAATGGGGTCCACCTGATCTTGGACTCTGAACCTTTAAAATGATGAAGATAAGAACCTTCACTCTATAAGTCAATCACTTCAGGTAATTTGTGTAGTAACAATATGCTAACATATTAACGGCTGGGCAGTCCCACTCATACTCTTGCATCTGGGTGGTCTCATTCAGGCACCCCCACAATGGGAAGCAACCAGACAGCCACCCCTAAGCAGCTGGTCTCACAGAGACTCACGGAAGAAAATGAGCAGCTCCACTCATTGACTTACAACTCTGGGAAGCAACCAACTAGCCTATCCTCAGTTGCTCAGCCTCACCCACCCACCACCATCCCCAGGAAGCCATTGTGGGCAGATCAGCCCAAGAGGTTCCGTGAAGTTACCTGTGCAGCTCTTAGACAATGATAGGTGCCCTCCATCAGTAGTAGGCATTCTGAGCTGTACCCGCCTCAGTCCAAATGGGCGACCCCACCCTTACACAACTGGAGCAACCATAGCAGGTCCACACCTGAAACCGGATGTGTTGTACCCACTCTACCCATGATTACCAGTGAACCTGCCTTGCCCAGGGCTTTTGCATCCCAATTGGTGGTGCAATCTCATAACCTCTGAAGCACCTTGAACAAAAGCAGCCTATTCATCCCACACCTGGGGACACATCACCAGCAGTGCTTCTTACCTTGAAAGCCACCCTATAAAACTGATAGAAGCAGCTAGCCAGTCAGATGCAAAAAAAAAAAAAAAAGAGAGAT